TGGATTTGGACCTTGGTGTTTCTGATTTTTCGAGGTTTTCGCCTTTAAAATGGGTGGAAGCTCTGGAAATTGGGCGATCTGTGCAGAATGTTGTTGGTTCGTCAGATGGTATTGTTGGGTCAGTGGAAGTTGCTAAAGGTGGAAAGGCTGCTTGGGTTTTCCTGTCAGCGTTGGTGGTTTTGCTCATGGCGCTTCTGGTTTAACTGGTTTTCCGTCGTTGAAAGGGGTGGCAGATGTGGAAATTAGGCGAGTGGGCTCATTGGATGGTGCTGGTGGGTCAGTGGACGTTGTTGAAGCAGTGCAGGCTGTGGGTTCTCCAGCTTGCGTTGGTGGTTCAGGTAAGACTCTTGATTGGAAATCCTTGTTTTTCGATCAGTCTTTGTGTTATTTCCCTCCCGTGGAGAAAGATGGGGGTCTTGTTGATGATTGGGCGACAAGGGGTGGGGGTGGTGAAGACAGATTGGACACAGGCTCCTTTCACTGCTTCTTACAGGAACTTCAATGCCGACGCCTGCATTTGGTCTACTGGATCATCTTCTTGCTCTTCAACTTCCCCAGCTGCTTCTAACCCTAATAATGCATGGCTTTCACAAGAACTAGATTCATCAAATCAGGAAAGGCTTCAATGGGTGCAAAAGAATTACATGATATACAACTACTGCGCAGACACCACACCAAGAGGTTCCCTCAAGAGTCAAGGCTTGCCTACCGAATGAAACACAGCTTAAGAAAACAAATATTGACCGTCCAGCTCAGTTGGTAAAGCACAAGGTTCTTAATCTTGAGGTTCTTAATCAAGTCTATGGAGGGCATTTTATAATTTAGAAGTCTCATACGAAAATTACTCTCAACCTAATGTTAAGGACTGTCTACTATCTTATCTTTCCCTTATCACATTACATATAGGAACAAACGACAGCCATTTATTTATTGAAATATTGAGCTTTAGGAAGTCCGATATTATGTTTTTATTTTGGGTTTGAAGTCTTATTGACCTAAATTTTGTTATTTGTTGGTTTGAATAGAACTAATTTGGGTCTGCTTAACTTTTTGTTTTTGTTCCTTTTTTTAATAATTTGGATTAAATACATGGCAATATTCGTTCACAAATAACTCTCAACTTTTCGATATTGATAGTTCACACCCCTGATATCTATGATGTTCGAATTTGAATCTTCAAGGAATATCAATAACCCTTTATCACATAGACTACTTTAGTCCGTGCCTGTTTCACTTTTTCTTAATCGACTATTTCTTTCTTTTTTATAATTTGGATTGTTGTTATCTTTATTATTTCACGGTTTTAGAGGTTTTTTTATTCTAATACTCGATTCAAATTATAGTGTGGTAGTTTTATGAAAAAAGCATTATTGTTCTTTTAACTCTAAAAATTCATTAATATCAATAATCCCTTTATCACAGAAGTCACTTTAATACGTGCCTTTTTCACTTTTTGTTGAACGAACTATTTCTTTTTTTTTATAATTTGTATTGTTATTAATTTTATTATTTCACAGTTTTAGAGGTTTTTTTTATTCTAATACTCGATCCAAATTATAGTGTGGTAGTTTTATGAAAAAATCATTATTGTTCTTTAAACTCTAAAAATTCATTAATATTGTTTTTTACCTATAGAAATTGATAAATTTTTGTTGGTTATTATGATGTTGATGTGAAAATTAATAGTTTTTACATGTTAGTCCGTGATACTGTTATAATAGTTTATAATAGAAACTTTCTAAGTGTTTTGTTTTCCTATTCCAAAGTTCTAAGTTGTGTCTAAGATTTGTTTATGTCTCGATTAGTCTATTTATAGTGGAAAGGAAATAAATTGAAATGTTAAAATCTTTCGATGAAGAGTTGAGACCATTTGATTAAGAAATTTGTTAAAAAAACTAATGTATAGTTGAATAGATACAAGTTTATCAACATGGATCGGTTCAAGTGATAAACAACTTGATATTGTTTAAGTAACGTCCTGAGTTTGAATTCTTGTATATACAGAAAATTCTTGTTGAGAGACTCACCCACCAAAACTAGATGTATGATATGAGTCGGTTCGAATTAATCAAGGCGAATCCTTCGAACTAATTCTGAACGGTGAATTGCCCGTAAGTTTTCGAATGGTAAGTAGCACAGATTTGTTGCGCGTCCATGCCTTGTTTCTTCTTCTTCTTTTTCTCTTATCTGGGTGCAGGCAAAAAGACAAGACACTTCCAATGAAAAATCGACAAAATTTACGATAGCATATATGTTAACTTTGGTTAACAAAGGGATTGTTGGAAAACATGCATGGTGGCGAGGAAGAAGACGCATGCATGTAAAACCGATAAATCCACGTGGCGTTACAATTGAAAATGGTTGGACATCCTAACACTTATGTCTGTCTCCATATGCTAAAGATTATCCCCATACATATCCACTACCGCAGCAGTCGGACTCGGTTGAATTTGGACCCACCTAGGCGTAAGGTCAGATTCGTTTAACCCTTGTCGGATGAGAACCTTAACTGACTCCTATGACTAAGAGGGAAAGGATATTAAAAACGCTTAATACAAAAATAAACGTCTAAATTATATTACAAAAATATTTTAGTGTTTAAATTTATTTTCATTAAAAATAGATATATATAATATTTTTAACATTATATTTTTAGGTGTTCTATCGTTAACCGTCGTTAAATTTTTTTCTTAAATTACAATTGTCACGTTTTAGTAATTTAGAGAATTTATTTAAAAATAAAAAAAATCCAAATAGTAGCTTGTCCCCTCCCTCCCCCCTTCTCCCTTCCCTTTTCCATAGCCACCAGCCAGCCATGACAGTCATCATCAGCATCGACGTCGACCCCCGATCAAATTTCGTTGCCCATTTCGTCGTAATTTGTCACCTTTTGTCGTAGAGAAGCATTTAAAGTTTCTTTAGACCTTCGATGTTTTCGTCGATTCTGGTCAATTTCGATACCCATAAGCCACAACCACTACCATTCAAGCCACTATGCAATTCTGATAAAAAAACCAATCGTTCGGCGATGATAATGATGACCGGAGATGACCAACGACTGTTGATAATGGGGTTAAAATGAGAAATTTTAGTTTTTTAGGATTTTTTATAATGTAAGTAAAATTTTGGGGTTTTTATAAATAATTTAAGTTTTTTTTTCTTTTTTTAAAAATAATATTTTTATTATTAAAAAATTTAAAATTTTAAAAATATAACGATAGACACCTAAAAATATTAAATATATTTTTTATTAACATTAGACACCTATTATTACGGAAAAAAATAAACATTAAAATATTTTTTGAATCATAATTGGTCAATTATTTTATATTAAACCTATTATTAAACAAATAAAAGTGTCATTTGTGCTATGGTATTGCTAGCTCTAATCAATGCCGCCTAGCGAGATGATGGGGAGAAAACCTTTGAGCAAAAGAAAAAAAATGCGTGAAAGAATCAAATCAAATGGATTCTCTTTGCCTTTCTAACATGAAAAACAGTGACTTAATTATATTGAGAGGGTAATGATTTCATTATTTAATTATAATTAAATCATTTCAAATAGATAACATTTGAAAATTGGGTTTTTTTATCGAAATATTATCTTTAAACTCATTAATTACTTGTCAAGTATTCTCTCTTCTAATATTATTGATCTCTAGCATATTTTCTGACAAAGTGATAATAAAGTACAGATCATCATCCGTGCCTTTGTAGGATTATGTCCGAGCTCACGTCACGTAAGGGAAGGCGCGGATCGTCATCCGCAATTAAGGTTTATATTAATTAATATTAGATCATTATATATAGAGATAAAAAAGTTAAGGAATACATCTTTTAGCTTTTATCTCGCATTATCAAGAAACATAACTTAAACACTCTAATATGTCAATATAAGCTAACCACATGAAGCTCTTCAACTCATAGAACTAATATGTATTAAATTATGATGTTAGTTCCTATATTTTTATTTTTTTTTATTTTTTCAAATCATATTTTTTTAAAATACTTTGAGGGATGATGTGGACTTTGAAAAATATGCCCTTTGAAACGCGCCTTTTCACATTGCGTCATATTAACATTTCTTATGAAATGTGCGCAATGCTTCATGAAATGTGCGCAATGTGCGTTTCATGATTTGCTCATTCTGTATATGTCAGAGGTTCAGAGAAAGTGTGGATTGTCCCTTACGTGACACCAACTCGGACAGAACTCCACGTTGACATGGACGGTGATTCATATTTTGTCAGAAATGGTGCTAGATTGAAAATATTAGAAGAGAGTGTGTATGACATATAATTAATGGGTTTGGGGTGATATTTCAATAAAAACTCCTGAAAATTGATTATGCCTTCCCTTTGCTTTTATATTGTATGCGTGGGTACCAAATTATATCTATATTAAAATGAAAAATGCTCGTCCATTCTTTCCAAAATAAGATGAAAAAGGAGTGGAGTGAAGATGCTTGAAGATCAATTTGATTATATATTATTTATTTTTAAATATATAATATAATATATCAATTTTCATTAAAGTATTATGTTAAATATTATATTACTAATATACATGATTTGTTTATTTATTTATTTTGATAAACATTAAATATATTTTTAATTTTATTTAGGAGAGAAGAAGAAGATTCTAAAGAAAGGAAATGAAAGGAAAGATGATATTTTCGTTTAATATATTATCGTTGTAATCAAGTAAAAATATCAATTTTTTAGATTATCTAATTAATGGGTCATGCCTCCAAGGGGTCCACCACCAAAATTATCTAACTGTTGATCAAAACCTAGATGGATCGGACGGTGAGTCAAAGATGAGGCAGACAAAAGGAGGAGATATACTTTCTATAAAAACGTGGAAGGGAGCACGACAAGCGTTACAATGGAAACGATTCCCGTGTATGATCACGACACGTGGATGGTTGGTATTGAACTCCTCACGTCTCTCCCGGTCTATAAATTTTGCCTCTACTGTATTATCTTTCAAGTGTTGTTTGCTAGCTCTGAAAAGAAAAAAACTCATTATAATCATTTGGTTTTTTAATCAGATAAAGATCGTGTGAATATGTCTTGCTGTGGTGGAAACTGTGGCTGCGGTACCGGCTCCAAGTGCGGCAGCGGCTGTGGAGGGTAATTAATTTCCTCTGTTTCGAATTATTTGAAAAATCACGTTTACCCTAAAGGGTCTTCTTCAAAATCGTTTATTTTTGCCACTGATCTTGTTTTTCTGGTTCGAATTCTTGAACTTGTAGATGCAAGATGTACCCCGACATGAGCGCCGCCGAGATGACCACAACCGAGACTCTCGTCCTCGGCGTGCCACCCCAGAAAGCGTACGTAACAGAGAGTTCAATCTTTTTTTGTTATGTTTTGCTTTGTTTTTAAGGTTTCTGATCCCCGTCTTTCGATCCATGGCAGGCACTTTGAGGGAGCTGAGATGGAATCCGGGGCTGAGAGCGGCGGCAAGTGCAAGTGTGGAGACAACTGCACCTGCAACCCTTGCAATTGTAAATGAAGAGAGGCAAAAACCAAGCTCACTGGACGCAGAGAGGCCTCTGTTATTATGAAATAGCGTGTTTTGATTTCATGTTTTTACAATAAAGCCGCCATGGTTACTTGGTGGTGCTTACAGCAGTTAATAGTTTAAGTTGCTAATATTATCGTGTCATTATGTCCGGCATGAGGCGTTCTCTGCTATATCGGGAATATATTATGACTGTTCTATTATATTACAGTGAAGGGAAGCTCCTTTATCTTCTACTTTCTTCGTATTTTTCTTTGATTTTGTTGGATTCCATGGGAGAGAGCTGGCAGGGGATTTTGATGAAAAATAACATGGAATTTGGAAATACGACTTCGTTTCAATGTGATTGGTACGGGAATTGAAGTGTGTGGTTTTGGATAGGGATGATCATGGGATTCGGATACGATCGGGTTGGGTCGAGTTTTTAAAAAAAATTAGATTTTTGTTGTTTTTTTAAAAATAGTGTTTGGTCGGGTCAGATTTAGATTTAAGATAAAAAAATATCTAATTTAATCAGAAAAAAATATATAATTTTATTTTATATTTTTATACAATAATATTTTTATATATTATTTTTAATTCAAAAAGTCAGTTGAGTATAAGGTATATATTATATGGACCGGATTGAATTTCGGATGAATGAATCCAAATCTCGGGTGGATCAAAAATTCGATCCAATCGACTTCACCCCTAATTTTGGATGGAAATCAAAACCCCGAAGGTGAAAACTTTTTGTGTGTGGATAAATCGAATTTTATTATCCAATATAACAGAATTCTGCTACAAAACAATCAACCATCATAACAAAAGAAATAAAAAACAGCCTACTACAAAAGACAAAAGTTGGTTAAGCTAAACCCAAGGCAATACACATGTTATAGTTAGTTCTATCAGCTCTATTTATATTTCTACCCTTTAATTGAATTTGCACAGTTTCAATAATGATCTTAAGCAAGTCCTCGATTAATCTGAGTCGACATTTAAAAAATTTACAATTCCGTTCCTCCCATAATATGTAAACATAGGCAGTCCATGCAGTCTTCAAGATTATAGTGAGTAAGAATTTTCCTTTCCATGTTGATGATTGAAGATACTAAATTTTTTCTCATTTTATTATTATTATTATTATTATTATTATTATTATTATTATTATTATTATAATTATTATAATTAAAAAATAATTACAAACAGGCCCAGATTGGATCGGCCCAATTACAAAGGACCCAACTGGCCCAAATTAGAAACCCTAAAACCCAATTAGGGTTTTCTATCCAGCTGCCGCCGCTTTGCTTCTCCACCGTTGGATCTAGCATTGATCCAACGGTCCAGATGGCGCCAGACGAAACCCTAGGGTTATGATACCCTAGGGATTACACCAGCTGCCGCCGCTCCAACCGCTGCCACGCCCCAACCGAAGGCTCCAGAAGCTTCAACGCCAGCCAGCCACGTTATGGCTATGGGGTGAGTCACCACTGGGAGTCCGGTGACTCACCGAAGGGTATTCTTTTACCCGGTCCGATGGCCACACCGGTGATGGCTATAAAGCCATCACCCCATCTGCGAAAAAAAGAGGAGAGGGAGAACCGAGAGAGACCAGCAAAAACAGAGAACAAAAATGAAGAACAATAACCCACAATCCGCAATAAACCAAAACAGAAACGAAAAGAAAGGAAAGAAGCTTACCGAGGAAGCCACCAGACCTCTTCAAACTTCACCAAAACCTTCGAAAACCGAAGGTAATTTTTTAGATTTGCTCCGATCGGGAGCTATTTAGGAGAAAAGAGCACCAGAACCGTCCTTAGGACGGTCCGATCTACCTAATGATGTAAAAATAAAATTTTCCGACCACCGGATGCGGTGGACGGCGGTGAGGGTCACGGCGGCAGACGGTTGCCGTCCGGTGACCGGCTTCCCTCCGGTGAGGGAAGCTAGAGAGAAGCGAGAGAGAAAATTCTCTCTCAGAGAAGAGACCTTAAATAGGCCTTCCCGAACGACGTCGTTTCGGGAAGAACTATTTGTGCAAATTTTAATTGTTAAATCCCGTCCGCAGCCATTATAACTTGTAACTCTTACATTTTAGTCACTAAATCAATTTATAATCCTTTTAATTTGATCTTTAAATTTTAGTTTTATTTATTTTAGTCCTTTATATTAAAATAATATATTTAGGGTAAATAACAGATTTAATCTCTTATTTTTAATAATTAATATTTTAATCCCGAGTTTATATTTTTAATTTATTTTAATATGATATTCAAATTTTAGATAAGTTTTATTTTAGTCACTGAATTAATAAATAAGAAAATAGCATGTTTAATCCCTATAATTTTGATTAATTATGAATTGGATATTTAATTTTAATTTTACTATAATCTAGTCACCAATTTTAAATATTTTCATATAGTTCTAATTATATTTTTATTGTTTTAATTTTATTTGTTTATATATTTAAATATTTTTATTATTATTATGTAGTCATAAATATATATAATAAATAATAATTTTTTTTTCAATAAATTATTTTAATATTTATCGAAGAAAAGGGCAGTCTTAATACAACTGGATGTCCTATTCTGGTATTTTAAAATTAAATATTATAAAAAATTATTATTTAATTTTATTCAAATTAATATTTATTAATATCAAAGAAAATAACTGTCTTAAGGCACCTAGAAGTCCTTTTCCGATATTTTTAAATATTTTTATATAATTTTGAAATAATAGGATTATAAATTAAATATATTTTAAATTTTTAATAATAGAGACAATTTATAATTAAAAAGTATCAATTTTGGGATTTGTAGGGGTGCTAATCCTTCCCTAAACGTAACCGACCACGAATCCCTTTTTATTATTAAAAAGAACGAATTTTTGGTTATAAACGCAAATCAGTTCATTTTTTTAATTGATGTTTTCTTAAAACTCTTTTAAAAAAAATAATTTTTAGGTATTCGACCTACCTGACCCAAAAGGCCGATGGCGACTCCCAAATTATTTTCAAAAACCATTTATTCACATCAATTTTTCCGCCAAATAAATTTTTCGTACCCGGACGAAAACCAGTTACGACAGCTTGGCGACTCCGCTGGGGACTGGTCAAACTTTTAAAATCAATTATAAATTGTCTCTATTAATTATAAATTAAAATTTATATATTTAATTTATGATTTTTCCTTTTCAATTTTTTTTATATATTTATTATTTTCATAGTATGTATATATTTTCTTATTAATATTTCATTTTTTTTATTTGCAAGTATTTATTTCATTATTTATTTTTCCGTCAGAGGTTTGAACATTTCTCCTCACACACAACACTTGCATTGCATAACATAAAGCTCTATAATTGAGTTTGTCCTTTTTAAGTGGGAGTGAAAGCGACGTCTTCGTGAGAATTTATTCTCCGTGTCAGACCTAGCAAGTAACTTTCGGGGTTCATATGCTCTATGTCTTCGTGAGAATTTATTCTCCGTGTCAGGCATAGAGAAATGTATCCCCTCGAATTGAACTCGATCCATTTTAGTCTGTGATGGACTAGGATTGAGGGTTAGCAACCCAAGGGGGCACTAACAAGGACAATTCGGGTACCTTTATTCTTAGATCTGAAACCTTACATATAATAAACCCTAGAAACTCTTCCGATCTGAAGTCATGCCGAAATTTTGTCCAAAATAGGTGTACACACAGGAGAAATGAATTCTAATTTTCCTGTTAAATTATTTTTTTACTGATTAAATTACATGTATATTTAAATTATTTAAATTATGAAAAAGCATGTTTAAATAAAAATAGTTAGGTAAATGTTATTATTAAATTTCTTTATTATGTAAACTAATTCATTTCTTTTTGTATGTTCTTTATCTTTTCTGTTTGCATAGCATCATACAGGATAAAAGGCATTGATCCTTGTGTTAATTGTCTCATTGGAAAGCCTTCATCCATGGATAAAAAGTGTTCAAATCAAGTAATTCTAAACTCAGAAGTAAGACAGTGGGCTGAGGACTTACAAAGACAAGAAGGAGACAGTCTGCAGGATGATTATGTATCTGACTTGGCCAGTTATGCTCCAGTTTCGCTAAAAAGAAATGATATGCAAGATTTGCGAAGTATTTGGGAAAGTTGGGATTCAAACAAAAAAGTGCAGTTTTATCAGACTTACGGAGACATCCCATATTTGCTCTATGTCGAAGTTGATGATGAATTACTCAGAGCCCTAATTCAATTCTGGAATCCAGGGTACAATTGCTTCACTCTCAATAAAGAGGACTTGGTCCCTACTATTGAAGAGTACACAACTTTGCTACATATCGAAGGGGCTTTGGAGAATCGAATCTATTCAAAGTCAATTAAAACTCAACCCTTTCGAGTTAAATTAGCAAAGATTGTCGGGGTACGAGAAGAATGGGTGGCATCCCGTACAAAACAAAAAGGCGAAAGCGAAGGCATTACTTGGACCAACATTAAAGAACTTATTCAGAGTCATCCATATACTAAAGTACGATTCGATCTATTTGCTCTGGGTATGTATGGTATGGCCATCTTCCCAAAAGTATTGGGATATGTTGAAGCTGCAGTGGTAGATTTGTTTGAACAGCTACCGAAAAAGATTAATCATGCTTCTGTAATTCTAGCAGAGACCTTCAGATCGTTAAATGCTTGTAGAAAGCTAGGAGGTGGACGATTCTCAGGGTGTACCCAGTTGTTATATGTTTGGATCCGTAGTCATTTCTGGAGAACAGAAAAGGTTTCATACCGACGCTTTAATACGGATTACTCACCATTAAAAGAATTTCTGGAGCAGGAATGGCCGAAAGAAATTAAGAAAGATATGTGGATTAATGCCTTTCGAAATCTGCAAAGCAATGACATTGTTTGGCGAGCCCCGTGGCAAATCCAAATGGAATTCTTTTACAAATGTGGAGATTACAATTGGATAATGCTGCTCGGATTATGGGGAGGAATTGGATATGCACCACTTCCGGTCATAAGACAGTGTGAAGGTCGTCAATTTGTACCTGTCACCGCTGGATTACATTCATCTGAGTTCGCATTCCACAGCAAAAATTATAAAAGAAATATCATGGAAGCCGTTACAGCTTGGAAAACAACTTTTTGTATCCGAGCTAAAGCAGCAAAAGAAATGCTAACTCCTGATTATGAGGAATGGAGATATGTCAGGAAAAACGAAAATATTCCTCTACCAGAT